AGAGGGAATGCCCTCTTTGTTTTGTGTGGGGTCTTTAGGTGGCTATAGGACGCTTCGCTCGATGCTTGGGTCGAGTCTGCTTCCCTTGGACCGTTCGATCGAAGTTGCTGGAGAGCTTCAGTACACAGTAGAAGCTCGAGTCGATGGAGTTCGGGTCTGCTTAGTTCGCCGGTGATCGGAGCTCAGAACCAGGCAGTGGTGTTGTAATGCAAGGATTATGCGAACAGCTTGGTCTCCACCCTTTTTCTCTGAGTTTTTCGACCTCCCCTTAAAGCTTGCTGGAAGAGGCTTTTTAAATGGAAGAAGGACAGCTTGACTACTCCTTGAATTATGGGATGTGACCATACATCGTTAGGAGATGTCCTGTTGTCCACTCGTACCGCCAGCGGTCATTCGAAGAGCTGCGCTCTGTATCACGTTACGTAAGAGTGGGAAAGCCCCTCCTCGTATGCGTGACAACGGCAGTCAGATGCTTGCGTGGATCTGACCAAACACCGAGCGCCGGCGGCTCTCGTCCTCTCGCTTGGACAACTGAGGTGAGCCGCATTTATGAGGGTGCAGGCTGCTTTGACACCTGTCTGCCCACTTGTACTGTAGGCGGCTATCCGGCGGGCCTGGAGTACCGTGTCTTCTCTCTTCAGGCCAAGAGAGGCGGGAAAGCACGTTCCTGGCACTCGAGCCGAATGCTGGCGGATCCGTCTCCTAACTCAGACAACCGAGGTGAGTCGCATTTATGACTGTTCAGGTCGACTCGACACATGTCCAGTCCTTCGTACTGTGCGTGCTGTGAGCGGCCGCTTGACGGTCTTGGAGTACTGTGCCCTCTCCCTTTGGGTCGAGAGAGATGGGAAGGCCCATCTCAGCACGTGGGGTAGCGGATACGGGCGGCCTTGAGGTTTGCAGGCGGATTCGACTTCGGACTCGGGCAGGCGAGTTGCGTGAAAGGCGAATTTCCGCTATCCTAATCGATCTCAACTCGTGCAGGCAAGCCGATCGTTAGGCGAACCTAGAATCGAGTACATTTGATGTCTACGCGGTTTAGGCCCGTGCTAGAGAACTGAGCGTGTGAGTTTTTCTCGCAGGCGAATTTCCCGTAAGCCCATGGAGGTATTTTTTTTTACCGTCTACAAGAACCCCTTCAAAGTTTTCAGACCTAAACCGGCTCGCGTGTAGTCTGGAATACTTTGAATGAAGAAAATTTTGGCGAAGCAAGAGCCTTTGGGTTTCTTTTAGGATTTTTAGCAAACCCTCAGCTATCAACGGGTTTGATGTGCCTTTACCGATTTTTAGGATTTTTAGCAAACCCTCAGCTATCAACGGGTTTGATGTGCCTTTACCGATCACCGTTTGAATCGGGCTAGCCATACTATTCCCCTCAGTATGATGAGTTGTTGAGCTGTTTCTCTTAGGCTTAGTGCTAAGATTTATGCTCTAACCCTTAGCCGTCTGAGGCGTGGGTTTAACCGTTTTAAGCGAGGTCATTCTATTGGCTTCGTTCGTAATTTTACCTTTAAGGGCGAATTAATCGTTAAGGCGAAATTAATCTTTGGGAGCCAAATTTCGTGTGACTCGTGGGACCAGGCCAAGTATTCGTAGGCGAGACCCCTTCTTTTTGGGGCGGAACCAAATCTGATGGGAGATGAGCCACGTGTCTGCCGATAGGGCTTCATGCTTCCCAGCTAAGGTGGCGCGGTCTCGTCGGGTCATGGTTATCGTGACTTGACAACATGATGTCAGCTTCGTGTGTTTCGCCCCACGACGCATCATGGCCGTGGTTTTCAAACCAGGCCGTCAGATCAAGTCGTGGGTTTTGGTTCGGGTCTCGGGCTTTGACTGGCCCGTTCCCCTATTCAATGGCTCCTTCATAACTATAGAACGAGTTATGAAGGACAATCTGGGCCGTCGATTTCAATCGTGGCCACGTCTCTTGAACGCGAGTGTCCTGCTTTACAAGTGCCATCAGGGCCACGCAAGCCCTTTCGCCTTTAAATAGGTTCCGTCCTTCTCCTCTTTTTGAAAGTTAATGTGTGTGAAAACCTCCCAAAAGAGAAAGAATTCCCGCTTCGTTTCAATGGCGCCGAAATCCAAGAGGTGTAAAGTGAGGGGAAAGGGTCCCGGACGCTACTCTGATCGCCTAGCCGCCAGTGTGACCGTCAATGTGCCTGAGGCGCGCTCGGGTAAGTTGAAAAAGTTTGCTTTAACGTTCTCGTGTTGGTCGTCGCTGTCGTGCCAGGAAGGTGAGTGCTTCTCATTTTTCCTTGGTGGGTTAGGTAGTCCCCGTGATTTTGGTAAAACTGCCCCTTTTCAGGCGGATTTTACCTTCATCCGCGTTGGGCGATTCCAGCCTTTATAGGCGAGATTGGTCTTTATCAGGCGAAGGTGAACTCGTCTTCTGACAGGCGAGTTCGACTTTCATCTAGTAAAGGTGAACGTGGCTTATGCAAGCGGCTATCGTCATGTCAGGCGAATTTCGCTCCTTGACAGGCGGATCTGCATCTGCCTCCTGATTTTTCTTGACTTTGTTTTGCAGCGACCTTTTCCGACCAAGCCCTCCCGAAGGGCGTGGCTACCGGCTTCGCCGGAGGTGCAGGTAATCCAGCGCCTCCCTGATTTCCTTCCTTGTGTCAGGTGCCCGTGTTCTCCACCGATAAGCCGGTTGGCTCGACAAGGAGAGTCACCGATGGGCACCACTTAACGCTGCGGGAGTTGACCACTGACGCGGTGTTGACAGACGAGGACAGGACGGAACTGCCGAAGCCTCAGTTTTTGTTTGGCGATTCTATCACCGATCCTTCCACTCTACTGCTCAAGGAGTGCAGATGGTTGCGCATAGTGGAGGGGACTCACTATTACCTTCCCGACATGCCGAGGGGGTTCTCGATCATCGGGCTACGGTCTTTTGTGGTCCCTCGAGTGATGAACTGGGACTTGACCCCCACTCAGGACGGGGTCACCTGTGGTGTCTTTACAGGCTCCACGGCGGGATATGGGGTGGAGGGCTCATGTAAGCACGTGACGGGTCTGCGCCCTGGCCTACTGTCCAATGAGCCGCCTGCGGGGGAGTCGACGGCGGTAGCGGAGACCTTCTGTCACCGCTTCTTTCGGGCAGGTGGGAGTTTTCCCCCAAAGGACTTCAGAGCCCCGGGGTGGGTGTATTCTACGCCGGGCAGCGATACTTGGTGGTCCAAGATCCCCGATTGTATCCTGGCTGAGAATTCCGACCTCAGGAATTCGAAGCTGTATGCGGCCATTCAAGCCACTTGACATGGTTTGAGGATTAATGCCTCTCAATTCCACAGCATCCTGGGACTGTACTGTGCGGAAAGCGGCACCTTCTTCACCCCCAACAGTGAACTTGGTATGTCCCCTCACGAGATGTATGACGTGCCAGGGCTGCCTCTGGGGGACTTTCCTTACGAGGAGTACATCCCAGACCAAGATGAGATCGACCAGCTTTCCCTCTGGGGGACTTTCCTTACGAGGAGTACATCCCAGACCAAGATGAGATCGACCAGCTTTCCGACTGTCCCCCCTTGGTAGTAGAAACTCTATGGGAGTTGCTCTGCTATTATCACATCTGCCTCAGCACCTTAGGGGCTAGGGATCACAAGGGGAAGAAGAAGAGGACTCCGGGAATCAGTCACAAGAATTGGGCTGACTATCTGTTCCCTGGGAATGATGTCAAAGGGAATCTCGCTCTTCCTCTAGGCGGGTGCGACCAGGCTGAAGTGGAAAGGAGGATGACTGAAGAGGAAGCCACTATAGCTCTCGATCATGACGAGGGCGGGTTCAAGTCTGGAACGGTCTTCCATTCGTTTCACTACCAGGCCATGTCCCCTATTTCTGGGAAGGCCCTGTTCGCGGGGTACCTCATGTTGTGGCTGAAGAGGTGCGTGGTCCCCACTCATTCCTTCGAGGCGCTCCCGGTGGAGGTGGTGTATCCTGCGGTTTGCTTAGCCCACGGGAAGTCCTAGTCTTTAGTGTCGGCGACGATAGCGTGTATCCATCGAGGACTCCGCACGCTGACGGCCCAGTTCTGCCGTGTGTCGACTGTCGACGAAGGTGAAGGGGAAGTCATCAGGACCCCCAATCCTAGAGTGGGACTGCCGTACACTTACTTGATGGCGTGGTTTGTTTACCACTGTGAGTGTTTGATGAGCGCTCCCGCGACTCTTCCAAGAGACATGTTTGTTCCGTTCCTTGAGCGTTTGGAGAGGTGCTCTTGGAAGTGTAAAGACATTCCCGATGCGCAGAAGACGCTCTCCCACTTTGTCCATTATAATTTTTGTCGCTTCTTCCCCTACTTCAGCGGAGGAAGATACGGCGAGTCTCTTAGGGATGTGCCGACGGCGGACCACCACACAGCTCTCTCTCGTGGTGCTTTTCAATGGTTGGTGAATATTCAGCCGGGGTATCACATTCTACGCACAGGTTCTGTGTGCTATCTTGAGCCGTATATCCCCTGCAGGTTTGCCCGTCAGTTCGGGTACGACCAACTGTACGTGGACAACGCCAATCCCCGCCTACACTTCGAAGGAGGACTAGTGGATGGAGCTCGGGGATGGTTCTGGACCCATGCTGGTGGCACCCAGGCTCGTTTTGAGTTACCCGCGAAGGATCGTGATTTGCACCACACGCTCCTGTACTGTCAGTGGTATCGGGGCGCCAGTGCTAATCCCTCTGGTTTCTGGTTCCAGGGTTCGTGTTTGGCGGAACAGGGGCGCCCTCCCGTAAGGCCTCTTCGTTCTTCGAGACGGAGGGGTCGCCAAACTAAGGACGCTGAGGGTAGCGACGTGGGTCCAGGTGAGTCTGAAGTGCTCGAGGCTCGGGTTCCTTCTCCTGGTCCTTCGTTGGACCCCTAAAATGATCGGGGAGAAGCTGATGAGTTAACCTGGGCGGGCGAGAGGCTGGAGCGAGCCCGGAGCGCGATAGCAGGGCAAATGGGAACGCCTCTTCTATCTCCGAGTAGTTCGCTGCTCTCCAAGCGGTAGCGGGAGATGATGGCGGAGGGTTCCAGAGCGGAAACGGCTAAGAAGACTCGTCACGAGGAAACTATGGAGGCCGTTAGAGCGGTGGAGGGTCAGGATGATGATGCCTCTGGGGCTGGAGTTGTTCAGTCTACCTCTCCTGCCGCATCGAGGGCGGCTCCGGCGACTTCGAAGGACACTCCCTCGCAATCTGGCGTGAGGCCACAGACAGGAGTCCCAGCGGCTTCTGTGTCCGCATCAGGAGGTAATCTTTGCAACAGTACCCTTGATCGCAATGTTGACCTTACACCTTTTGACACTTGCATTGGGCTTATGCAGGCGCGGTTGAGAAAGTGATCTCCATCCCTTCTGTCGAAGAGGAGGAGGCTGGGAATAAAGAGGGGCCTACAGGCTCAGGTAAGCGTAGGTTTTAGCATTACTCATCCTTCCGTACCCAACTGTCGATAAGGTCCCTTTCGTGCATTCGCAGCTGATCCTGCCCCTGAAGTCGCTTGCAAAGAGGATCCTCCTTCTTGGGCGAGTCGCTCGTCTGGGGAGACGGGCGAATTTGAGGAGAATGACGACGTCCCGGTTCATGAGACGTTATCCAGTGAGGAAGAGGTGTTGGCTCGCGAGGATGCGCCCGGCCAAATAGAGAGATCTCCTGCTCCTGCGGAAGCGTCGGCTGGGGATCGTCCATCAGCGCGAGAGTCTCCGCTTCGAAGGGAGGCTTCTACTCTGCAAGTGACCACTTCCTTGTCGGCGGCGGCCGTTGATGCTGTGACCGCTGCTCCGAGGGCGTCATTGGTCACACTGGCTTTGGCGGCGCCAATCCCGACTTCTACGGTTATGACCACAGGTACTTCAACCGTGATTTCATCCATAGAGGAGGAGGATGCCCTCTCTCCCTTGGAGCGCGAGCGAAAAAGGAGTGCAGCACGATCCGTGGCTGAGTGCGGCACGAATCCATGCTGATTTCCAAGGACACTCTAGCGGCTGCATCAAGCTCGCTTTTGGAGGAGAGTGTCCTTCGAGGTTTCAAAGAGGATCTCGACTACATCGACTGTGCTTCTTAATCAAGAGCTCGGCCACACTGCGGCAAGCCCTACTTCCAGCGTAAGGAGGAAGTGAAGGAAGCGTTTCAACGTTATTGCTCATCGCGCGGAAGAGTTCCACTCTTGGGATCTGCATCCAGCGAGTCGAGCAGCAATGAACGAGACCATGTCACTAGAGGCAAGATTGTCAGCAGAGTTGGAGCAGGCCAAGGCTGAGGATGAACGAATGGCCCTCGAGCAACAGAAGGCCGATAACCGCGTTTCTCGCTTGACTTCGAAGGTAGAGAATCTGAAGCAAGTTATAGCTAAAGCGCAAGCCTCATTGGCCATTCAAGAGAAGGCTCGTGAACAGGCGGCCAAGGAATTGGAGAGCATTGAATCCCACCGGACACTGACGGCTAATTCCGTTGAGGAAAAGGATCGAGCCCATAGGGAGGTCAAAGAGACCGTCCAAGACTTGGCTTCACGCATTGAGGAAGATCTTCGCCAAGAGATCTTGAGGAAGCTAGAGCTTCGTCATGCTAGGGAGATTCGCGAGGCGGAACTGCGGTTGAAAGCCTTGTAATTTGCCCCTTTTGTCTTTGATTGCCAGTTGTACTAGGATTTCTTTCTATGAATGAAATTATCCTTTTGTTTTTGGTTACTATTACTCCTGTGCATGTTCCATTTCTCTTTTAACATGCGTTAGCTAGAGTGTTAGTTGTGAGGGGCGGTCTTCAGCCGTCGGCGAATTTCGCCCGTAAGCTTGTCTCCTCTGCGAGCGGATTTCGTCTGCAGGCGGATTTGGAATTGACTCTAGTTCCACAAGTGCAATCAGTTTTGACTCGTGGCAATCTCGGCGGCGAATTCGCCATCAGATAGGCTCCGCTTTTGGTGGGCCACGCATTGGTTCGTGCTTACGTCAGCCGAGAGAACGTGGGCACGTCACTCCGTATTGAATGCGGCGTAGTGGGGCTCTTCGTCCCTCGCGCCTGATTTGGGCCGTATTTGAAGATCGTGCTTAAGAAAAACCGTTGGATTTTGGCCGTCCAGGTAATATCCGATTTGTTCGGCCTTACCCTTCAACTGTTTTAGCCTTGAACGGTCTAATCAAGTATTGAGTAACCGCCTAGGGTTCTTAGGGTATTTAACACCCTTACTCCCTATCAGGAGGATCTACAGCCTTCTCATTGTCTTCCCCAGAGTAAACCCAAATTTCTCCTTCCTCATACCCCCGATGGCACCGAAGGTGAAGAGGGTCGCTTCTAAGAAAAGGAAAGAACCGTCTTCTTCAGGCGCTGCTGAGGCTGCAGCGGCCGAAGGTATCTTTTCCGTTCTTTGACAGCTTCAGGCAGTCTCTCCTTGATCGCGTGGCTGATTTGCGGCGATCGGACGAAAATCGGCTCGCTACCCGTTGCATGCATGAACTCCGTCTCTTGGAGTCACGCATGATAGAGTTAGAGACCTTGCTACGGGAAGGTCCGGAAGCCAACATGGAGTCTTGCCTGGCTCATGTCAGGTGTCAGGAAGCCCTGGAGCAGGAGACCCGTTCCAGAGAAATAGCAGATTTGGAGTCTACCGCCAACTTCTGGGTGGGCCAATAACATTTGCTGGAGGAGCAAATTATCGACCTCAATCACACTGTAGCTCGACTGAGGGCCGAACTGGGGCAGGCGGAGACGAACTCGAAGGGGCTCCAGTCTGACGTTGTGAAGGTCAGTAAGAACGTTGAGGCGGAAATTCGACGTCTCCTAGCCTTGCGCCAGGCAGACGCTGCTGCCAGGTCAAGCTCTAAAGCTCAGATTCGGAAGGCTGCTGAAGACAAGGCCCGGGAAGACCACGTGAGAAAGGTGGCGGCGGCCAAAGAGGAGCTCTCCACTTTCAGCGTGTTCGACTGAGGCCTTGATCTTATGATTGTATTAAGACATTTTGCTTATGACTCGTTTGTTTATGAAATCATAACTTTGTTCAAATGTATTGTCTTAAAAAAAACTGGGTGCGTGTTTTGCTTATTTTTTGAACGTAATATTATGACTTTCGTAGTTGCAAAAAGACCATAACTTTGTTCAAATATACTGTCTAGAAGCATCCAATGAGGCTTGTGTTTGCTCATTGTTTCACCGCCCCTCAGTGTTTTGCTCTGTAATGGTCGACAATCTCGTACCGCAGGCGAAGTTTCCTTTGTGATGACGAGTTTACCTTAAGGGCCAAACTCTATCCCGATGAGTTTACACTGTTGGCAGAGCAAGGGTGACGGCGAGTTCCCTAAGATGGCGAAGCTCGGCTCCTGACGAGTCCACATTATCGGCGAAACTCAATTGATCGACGAGTTCGTCAGCAGGCGAGACTCGATCGCGGTGAGTTTCGCTTGGAGGCTGAACTCAACTGCTGGCGAAGTTCGGGTAGATGGCCAAACTCAACTGCTGGCGGGTTTATGCTGCAGGCGAAACCCATATGGTGGTGAGTTTGAGTTGAAAACCAAACTCAATTGATGGCGAATTTGAGCTGTAGGCGAAATCCATATAATGGCGAGTTTACACTACTGGCGAAACTTGGATGGTGGTGAGTTTGTCCAACAGTCAGAAGTCCAACTGTGGGCGAAGTTCGTGTCACGCGTCCGTCGGCAGGTCCAAGTGCTTGCCAGCTAAGACTCCGCGGGCGCATTAATGCTCATTAATGGTGAAGCGACCGAACGCTTCGCCTCTCGTGCCCAATCCGATCGGTCGGTTTGGGGTCTCGAGAGGAATGGCCTTTATTGGCGTTGAGTTCAAAGTGTTGCCGGACATCTGGACCGCTCGATCGCTTGGGGTAACGAATCTCAGCCGTTGAGTTCTTTTCGAATATATATCAGTACTCGCCTCTCTTCAGCAGAGTTCTTACTGCTTGAGGGGTGGATGTACCACCTCGAGGAACTGGCCTATGATGATCCCTCTGACGTCCCACCGCCCCTTCCACTGTATCTCCTGCTCGAGCGTGAGGAGCGGGCGAAGCGGATTCGGGCAAAGGAGGCCGAGCTCAAACGTCTGCGGAAGCGGCACCAAGCGGTACTGGACCGGATGGACGCTTACCTGGACAGGGCTTTCTTCGAGGATGCTGGCTCTCTTCGCGGCGAGGCAAGGCTGCGGGAACGTGGGTGTGAGGCGAGGAGACTCGTTGAGGCCGCCGGAGTGGTGGAGAAGGAGCTCCAACTTCTTCGCCAAGAGGAAGAAGACAGCGAGGTAGACTTAGCCAGGCGGCAGTAGGAGCAAAAGGAGAAGGTGAGGATCCGGCGTGCGGCGGATCGTGCGGCGGTCAAGGCTAAGATTGGTTCTTTTAGCCTGCTAAAATTCCTGTAATGCTCATGCTGTCGTCCCCCTCTTTTTTTTGTTGTTTTGTTAACTTAGTTGGTGCATCGGGCATCACAACTAAACTGAAAACTTATGTAAATTGTGGCCCGTTGTGGCTCTTTTGCTTGTTTTGCTTGTTCTGGCTTGTTCTTGCTTTGCATGCACAGTTTTCTCTTTCTTTATCTGCGCTGTTTGGCATTTGAGTTGAACTTGGTGAGCCTTTGACTATTCTGTTTTGGACTTAGTCGTTTTAGGCTCTTGTTCTGTTCTCTGTTGCTCACAACATGGAATCGGGCTAACTCCGATCTTCGCGTTGCAGCTCGAATGGGATCAAGAGAGTAACACTTGGTTTGCAGCGAAGAACAATCGTTCGCTTCTGTGGCCAACTGAAGAACTCAACTTCGACTCGCCTCTCGGCGAGTTGTTGCCTGGGGAACTGACAGACGGGTCGTTTGCCGAACCGCCTTCGATAATTGTCGTTATTTGGGAATGCGACAATCGATTGTGGTAGGAGCCATCGCGTGGTAGACTCTACCCATCAGTCATTCTAAAGGAATGTTAGAATATCTGGAATAGGTCAAATAGTTCAGGGACATAGGAGTGTGACTATTGACAGGAGTAATAGCACGTCGCGTGGTAGGCTATTGCTTAGGCTGTGCGATCAAGAGAGTAACACTTGGTTTGCAGCGAAGAACAATCGTTCGCTTCTGCGGCCAACTGAAGAACTCAACTTCGACTCGCCTCTCGGCGAGTTGTTGCCTGGGGAACTGACAGACAGGTCGTCTGCCGAACCGCCTTCGATAATTGTCGTTATTTGGGAATGCGACAATCGATTGTGGTAGGAGCCATCGCGTGGTAGACTCTACCCATCAGTCATTCTAAAGGAATGTTAGAATATCTGGAATAAGTCAAATAGTTTAGGGACATAGGAGTGTGACTATTGGCAGGAGTAATAGCACGTCGCGTGGTAGGCTATTGCTTAGGCTGTGCCATTCGTAGGAATAACGGCGCCAATCATCAGAGGTGATCATTAACTTGATGGGGTCTTGTCGCGATTGGAGCAACTGTGGGGACCTACCATCCTTCTAAAGAGGATTGGTAAGCGGATTGTGTCAGAGGTTTAATGTTAACGTGACAGGGAATGTCGTGATTCTTTGAGGACCCACCATCCTTTAGAAGAGGATTGGCGGAGGATTTTGGCTCTGGTCCTAACTATCTGAAGGTTTGACCAAGTGGGCGTTTGATGCCGCCCATCTGAGATGCTATTCTCGCCTGTTTTGAGAGATTCGCCAAGACAGGGTGTTTTAGCTGGTAAAGTGAATTTCGCCTAGACTGATAGGCTTTCTTGATATGGGCGATTCGCCTGATCTGAGCAATCTGCTTGTACCGAGCGGTTCGCCTGTACTGGTAAGCTGCCTCGAGAAATTGAAGCATAGGAATAGTTTTACCTCTTATACCATTTGGAGGGCGTGAGGGCCAGTTTAAACTCGTGCACTCGTGGGAGTTTGGCGAAGGAGAACTAGGGGTAGTACTTCTTCAGATACTTGCCGTTGATGGGCATCATGATCTTATCGCCATTCGGCTTGACGAGGCGATAGGCGCCGTTTGAGTAGAT